CCAGATCCACCTGCTTGGCAGGCCGAATCTGGCCCGTGGAGGCCCTTTTGCCCACTCCTGGTCTAGATCTTGAACCCTTCACAGCTTTGAAAGTGTTTGGAGCTGGCGTTTCTGGTGCCGCACCTTCTCTGCACCCAAGTTTAAAAACTTAAAAAACAACCAATAGTCTGGTAGCATTTTAAAGACTAACAAAACATGTCGATGGGATCATGAGCTTTCATGAGCCCATGTTTTGTTAGTCTTTAAAGTGCTACCAGACTATTGGTTGTTTTTTAAGTTTTTTCCTGTTACAGACTAACTCAGCTCCCCCTCTGAAACAAAGGGTAAAAGATTTGCATTGGAGAATCTTTGATTCAGGATTATCTCTAGTCACATGTGGGGTGTGGCAGGAGTTCCCTGTTCAGAGCGTTCCAAGTTCCTATGCTGCCTGGTGCTCTTGTCCGCTGTGGAATAAATTCCTGAGTTCTAGGCATCACGGCGCTCCATATTTATCCACAGGCATCTGTGCCACCATTTACAGGGTAGCAAGAAGGAAGGGCGTTTGAAATCTGTAATGTCTGTTCTGCATGGGGGACTGTAGGACGGGTCAGCAACTGCAGGATTAGTGTAATTTCTCTCAGGGCCATCCTTAAAAATTATGGGCCCCTCTTGCTGGGGGCATGGGGATTCCCTTCTCATGGTGCTTTTCCCCTCTCCGCCCCAGCTAATGGGGATTCAACAGCTTCCCTGAAGCCAAAGTGGAGCTGCAGAGGCTGAGGGTTCCTCTCTGCCCCCAGCCTGAGCAGTAGGGAGCCTTCATTAGCTGGCTGCTGCTTGCCAAGAGGCACACGTGGGGGAAGATACAGGGAGAAGCCCTGCAGCAGCTGCGAGGAGAGTCTGGAGAGAAACCAGCAGAGCCCTCAGGCATTCAAGCACACACAGCTATGTTGGGGCACCCGAAAATGTGGTGTCCCAAATTTTCAGGTGCCCTTTGCAGATGCATATTTCACATATGCCTAGGGACCACCCTGATTTCTCTCCTCATTAGGTCTCCCAACATGGTAAATTTAGCTTTTGCTTGCATGTGCAACTGAAGATGGACATAGCTACCCGGTAGCCAGGCGTGTGGGATCCTAGAAAAGACTAAACGATGCACGACAAGTGTCCAGTAATTTTCTTTCTTTGCTTCATTTCAGGTTGGAGTGTGGGACCTGTCTGACGGTTTGAACATCACTGAAGTTTCCAAGGGACGAGGGCCCAATGTCACAGACTCACTAACCAACAGATCTCTTATTGTCACCACTGTCCTGGTAGGAGGCTACAGGCTTGTATTTCTCATCCATGTACAAATGGCTGAAAATGTGCAACTTCTCTGATGTTTTACGAGGCTGCAGTGAATTTGCCAGTCCCCTGGCTTTTTGCCTCCTCTTTAGGGGTTGTCCCCTAGCTCTCTGTGCTACTGGCGCGGTCAGAAACTTAAGAACATAACAATGGCCATACTGGGGCAAAGTCCAACTTGCCCAGTATCCTGTCTGCTGACAGTGGCCAATGCCCCAGAGGGAATGAACATAACAGGGAATCATCAAATGATCCCATTCCCGTTGCCCATTCCCAGCTTCTGACAAACAGAAGCTAGGGACACCATTCCTACTCATCCTGGCTAATAGCCACTGATGGACCTAACGTCCTTGAATTTACCTAGCTCTTTTTTGAACCGTGTTAAAGTTGGTGCTCTCACAGTATCCTCTGGCAAGGAGTTCCACAGGTTGACTATGTGCTGCGTGAATAAATACTTCCTCTTGTTTGTTTTAATCTTGTTATCTATTAATTTCATTTGGTGACCCCTAGTTCTTATGTTATGGGAAAAAAGGAAATGATTTTTCCTAACTCACTTTTTTTCCATACTAGTTATGATTTTATAGATCTCTATCATATCCCTGATTAGACTCCTCTTTTCTAAGCTGAAAAGTCCCAGTCTTTTTAATCTCTCTTCGTATGGCAGCCATTCCAAACCCCTAATAATTTTTTTTGCCCTTTTCTGAACTTTTTCCAATGCTAAGATATCTTTTTTGAGATGAGCTGACCATAGCTGCACACATCAGTCAAGATGTGGGCACACCACGGATTTATACTGAGGCAATGAGATATTCTCTGTCTTATTCTCTATCCCCTTTTAAATGATTCCTAACATTCTGTTTGCTTTTCTGGCTGCCTCTGCACATTGAGTGGATGACCTGCCTTGGTCAGAAATAAGATGCCAACAATTGTCACACCGAAGTACCTGACACTCTTTGCTTTTCTTAAAATAACAAGAGATAAGAGACACTGAGATGTCAGTGTTCTAGAAGCTGTCATTTGCACACTGTGGGCAAATATTGGCTGATTCATGGTCACCGATTAACTTCCAGGAGTTAGCAAAATGTTAGTTCACCTGGCTGCCCTGTGAGAGGGTGGGATGGCCCCCCAGCATGTGACTGATCTGGGCTGGGTTATGAAAGGGAAGGGGAAGCTAGTGAGGAGGGGGCTACCCTGGGGAAAAGGTGTGTGCTCTTTTCTCCCAGCTGGCTGGAGCAGGATGGAGTGTGGGTGCTTTTAGCCAGTCGTTGGAGTTGATTTGTTCTGGATTTGAGTTTGTGTTTTTGGAATTCAAGCCCAGAGGAAAGGATGTGAAATGCCTGCAGGAGGGACATTTCTTTTCCTATTCCCTATCTGGTGAGTCTGCCGGCACAATGGCTTACAGGCCTTACTCGAGAGAGGGGGAGACCCACACTTACATCTGCTCCATCCTCTCCCATACCCACATGCTGCCGCGACACACCAGCTCTTCCCCCCACCATGATTTAGTTTGGAAAGGAGAAGACTGAGAAGGGACATAATAGCGATTTTTCAGGTGTCTAAAAGTGTGTTATAAGGAGGAGGGAGAAAAGTTGTTCTCCTTGGCCTTTGAGGACAGGACAAGAAGCAATGGGCTTAAACTGCAGCAAGGGAGGTTTAGGTTGGACATTCGGAAAAACTTCTTAGATGTCAGGGTGGCTAAACACTGGAATAAGCTGCTTAGGGAGGTGTGGACTCTTCATCACTGGAGATATTTAAGAGCAGATTGGACAGGCATCTATCAGGGATGGTGTAGATGGTGCTGTGTCCTGCCATGAGGGGAGGGGACTGGACTCGGACCTCTCGAGGCCCCTTCCAGTTCTAGTGTTCTATGATTCTATGATCCCCAAAGCTGCGTCCTCAGAGACAGAGTGCCATGGAGGGGGAGGGCGGGTTGATGGCAGAAGGGGCGGGGCTTGGGAATGGGAACTCACAGCAGACCCTGCCCAGCTCCCAGGGACTCCAGGCTAGATTGTGCAACGTCACTGGCTTGGGATGGCCCGTGGACCGAGAACTTGAGCCCCCTGGACTTAGAGGGTCTCTTTTCTCTCTGTGTCACTGCACGAAGGAGGGGCACATTCTGTCATGCATAGCCATGAGCATCAGGCAGCTGCTCAGTGGCCCTAGATTAAGTCACTTGTCCGTCTGAGTGGATCTTCCACTGGTCAGATGCCCCCGTAACTCCAAAGACACAGCAGTCCCGAATTAGCCCGCCCTCTGGGCGGTCTCAGTAGATCACCAGTGGCTTACTGGCCCTTAGAGACTGACCCCTCCTTTTGTTTCTAGATGTGGCCCTTCCAGGTCAGAGTTGAAGCTCCGTGCTAGGAGGTAGTGTGGATACGCCGGGGTCCTTCTCCTGCCAGGGCCGGCGTTGTACCTGTTCTGCGGGTACTTCATGCTCCAGCGCTGCCAATCTGTCCCTTCTCACCATCCTGGCATTCATTTACGCACATGGGTAATAACTGCAGCGCTTGTGTTTCGTTCCCCTCATAACGACGCATGTGACAACCTAGCCAAAAGTAATTGAGTTATGCAGCAAAGCATGGGTACTTAACCGCTCTCCTCTGCCTCCAACTGTCACACCGTATTTAGTGCTCGCCTTCGCTATTGGATTTGATAGCAGGCATCAGATCAGAATGAATTTTTATTTAACGTCTAATGAATTATGACTAGTCGCATTGGTTTATATTCGGCTGCGTTACACAAGGGTGGGTCATGCCTTGCCAGTCGGAAGCAACAGCCAATGGCGCTGTACCTAGAACAAATAATCCGTAGCAGGCCTTGGGCTGGTAGCATAGCCCCGGTTTGAAATTCTGCTTGTGCTGATAATAGTTCCAGCCCGTTTCCACGGAGGGCCTTCAAAAGAGCCCCCTCTGTCAAAGAATCATGGATGGTAGAGATGGGAAAGAACTGCTAGGTCATGGATGGTGGAGGGAGGATCGTCTTTTATGGCATTGCATATTTTATGCCATAAAAGAACACGTGCATGTGAATCAGGTATGCCTAAAAGAGAAGGACAAGAGTTTGGCTCGGTGCAATGTTACATGTATCCTCTCCCCATCTCTTTGTTCAGGGACCTCGATCCTCACCTGAAAAACCCCTTTCTATTCCCGTTCTGGGAATGATACACAGCTTAACATAGGACCGGCCAAAGGTCAGACCAAAGGTCCATCTAGCCCAGTATCCTGTCTGCCGACAGTGGCCAATGCCCGGTGCTCCAGAGGGAGTGAACAGCACAGATAATCAAGTGATCCCTCCCCTCTCACCCATTCCCAGCATCTGACAAACAGAGGCTAGGGACACCATCCCTGCCCATCCTGGCTAATAGCCACTGATGGACCTAACCTCCATGAACTTAGCTCAATGTTTCCTGATTTTATTTGGCCACAGAACCCTTTTCAGCTTAAAATAATTTCAAGGAACCCCTAGGGTTCTCAGAGTAGAATTTGGCAAGCAAAAAAAAAAAAAAAAAAAAAGCCCCGCCAGAATTGGTTGAGCAAAAAAACCCTGCAAAATACTCTGTCTCTTTAAGAGGGGTGGGTCAATGCTGCATTCTCGTGGAACCCTTACTTTCGCTTTGTGGAACTCGGAACCCCTAGGGTTCTCAGAGTAGAATTTGGCAAGCAAAAAAAAAAAAAAAAAAGCCCCACCAGAATTGGTTGAGCAAAAAAACCCTGCAAAATACTGTCTCTTTAAGAGGGGTGGGTCAATGCTGCGTTCTCGTGGAACCCTTACTTTCGCTTTGTGGAACCCTGGGGTTCCACGGAGCACTAACTGGGAAACACTGACTTAGCTAGTTCTTTTTTGAAACCTTTGCCAGTGAGCTTAGCCACTTCACCTCAGTCCCAGCCTGCGGGTCCCTGCTATTCCAGTCCCTGAAATGTCATTATGACCCAGGCATATTCTTATTGTTCATTACTAACTCTGCGGAGAGAGAGACAGAGACAGACAGCGAGAGACAGGGAGAGAAACACAGAGAGACAGCGAGCCAACCTCCAGACTGCATCCCGCTGTCGGCGGAGGGATGCAAATAAAGCACTTCGAAAGTGCAAATGAGCCCGGAATTTAAATATCCCGGACTTCATTTGCATACTTACCTTCCGGCACTGTGCCGATCACGTGCCATTTCAAAAGTGAAAGTGCTGTGTAGCCGCGGTTCTGCCGACAGCGGGGAGATTTTTCGACAGATCCTATACGCCTCATTTTTTGAGAAACCAGTGGAATAACGTTAGTTCGAACCAAGGGGTTTGATTCGAACTAACGCAGCCCAGAGCGCACTTCCTGGCTTGAATCAGCAGGCAATCGGAATAGCGCGCGGGCGAGATTATGCTTGAATCAGCAGGCGTGCGGAATAGCGCGCGGGCGAGATTATGCTAATGAAGCGCAGGATATTTAAATCCCCGCTTCATTAGCAATTTCGGTTGCCTACATTTGCATCCCTAGTTCGAACGAGGGTGCAAGTGTAGACGTACTCTGGGAGGGGAGTGGAGTCTAGTGAGTTATAGCAGGAGGCAGATACATTTGGGTTCTAAATAAAATGTCAGAATGGCCAGACTGGGTCAGACCAAAAGTCCATCTCCTCAGTAGCCTGTCTTCCAACAGTGGCCAATGCTAGATGCCCCAAAGGGAATGAACAGAAGAGACAGTCCTCAAGTGATTCATCCCCTGTTGCCCATTCCCAGCTTCTGGCAAACAGAACTTATTTCTTTAGGATTGGAACCCTGTTACAGTTTGGGCCTTTCTACCATCTCCCGGCAAAGAGTTCCACAGGTTGGCCATGAAGAAATCATGTCTTTGTTTGTTTTAAATCTGCTGCCTATAAATTCTAGTGGGCACTCTCCTTGTGTTTGTTAAGAGGTCAGTAAAATCATGAATGCTGAGGGAAAACGGACACTAATACATCTGTGTCTGGGGCTGTGGTATGCACTTTCAGCAG